GTGTGTGTGTGTGTGTTTCAGCATGCAGAGCTAACACTATGCACTGTACAGCCACAAACATACGTACACTCATTTACATACGCCATACTTCTTTCAAATCTGTCCTCATTCTATCCAAGATAATTAATTTCAAAGGTGAAATCAGCTTATTTAAGTCAGGAGAAAACTTCTTCCTTTCAACTCCCTGACAAACAAACTCCCTCTCGTGCATATCTTTAGATGTCGGTTATTCATTCATTGTATTTCACGCTTTCCTTTGTGCTGTCCTCTCCATTGATATCGAAAGAGCTTATTTTGCAGTGCTGGTCCAGTGTTCAGCAGAATGTGCACGTGACAGCTGGAAACAGCTGTGTTAGCTGTGTGTGTGCAAAGCCCTCGGACCAGCTAGCAACGCAGCTTAAGCCCTTTGCCTTTTTTTTAGGTCGGTTACATAGGCTGAGTCTGTTATGTAACAGGCACACAGGTTGAGAACTCCCCACAGCGTCACAGCTGCAACCAAACCACAGAAACAGTACATGCGTCCTCTCACTGAAAAACTTTCACAAACATGCAAAATATTGTGTCATCTGAGACATTTGTAGTATTTATTAAAACTGACAGAAAAATCTGTCAAAATTGGGGCAGAAATTTAAAGCAGCTTTAAAATCTGAAGTATAAATATAAGTTCAAGATTATCCTGCTTACTTACCTTACTTTGATCATCTCTGCAGTGAAGACTACTTTTAGCCAGTTTTATAATATATTGAACAATTGGGACTAATCTTGGTTTAATAATTTATTTTTTTATATGGAAAAGATGATTGACAAAATTATTGGAAAAATAACATATAATCATCCTAAAAGAGGATATTATTACTTTATTGAACTTCCATTTTGCAGTGTAGAAAACCATTTAATGCAAAATCCAGCAAGTTGAAGTTGTTGTTAGTATACTGTAATGTATAAAAACTTCCGATATGTAAAACATTTTTAGCATTATTTAAATAACGAATACTAAAGACACTGGGTTATGGTCTGTTTGTTTTTGTCAGAGGATCCCTGCTTAACTAATACCTTCAACATATGGTGGTGATTAGGACCTCACCAATCTCTGTGCCGAGTTGAGAGGCGACACTACCTTTTAGCCCAGTTTTATAATAATTGGAACGAACAGCTCTTTAGTCGATTAACAGTGACTCAAATCTTGGAGGTCCTACTTGGGCCCTCAACCTTAAATATTCGCCTGTAACCGCTGCTTATGTCATTTGTCCCCCGGGAGAAGGGTAAAGAAATCCAAGACCATGTATTTCTGCCGACCAAGCGAGTCCACGCTTGATACAGTCGCTGTCCTGTGAAAGCGTCACCTCCATACCAAACAACAATATTCATATGGCCCTCCCGGCTACACCCGTGGTCCTGCTGGGGCTCCTCCCATGCCATCCACGTCTCATCCTCCACTACCTGTAAGATCGCCCGCAGTGTGGGTGAGAAAAAAGTCTGAACAACAAAGCGCTCCGCAGAGATTGTCAACACTGGCTGTGTACATTCATTTGTGTCGGGTAACCTAACATCCGTCATCCGCTGGCAGCCGTTTCCTCAGAATGTGTTACATCAGGAGTAACGTTGTTTTGTCTATGTGAAGTGGACTCTAACTGGCATCAATGCCATTATCTAGGTGCAAATTAAAGAGATCAAGGCAGCGGGATTATCGCTGCGTGTTTTTACAACAGAAAAGTAGTTCCAAATAAAAATAAAAATGATGAGGTTAGAATATGGCCAGCTAAAGCAAGCCTTATCTGAACTTCCCCTATACTTGGCCGAGTGGTCAGACTCATTCAGCGACAGAATACCATACCTCACATTGAGTTTTACTAATGGCAAAATCACTACGTGCAATCCTCAGAGTTGTTGTTCCAATATACCTAAGCAATCGGAGAAGGGATGCGAGGAAAAAAAGAAGAGAGAGAAATCTATACATGTTCACGGAATAATGTGATTCTTAGATCAGCCACGAGATTATTTGAGCAAACATGACCAGATACATGGAGGTGTTTAATGCTCTATATTATCATAAGCCTCATCGATTATGTCAGATTTTAATATCTTGAACATAACTTTGCACTCTATGTCCTGGGGACATATTAACACCACTACAGCGCATGATCGGTCCTGTTTGCCTGCCTGGCTTTTATCTCAACCTGTTTTCAAAGTTCGCAGCGCCCATAACATAATCGGCATTGCGGAGGAGACAGAGAGAGTAGAGTCCACTTGTGTCACATAGAGATTA